ATATATATATATATATATATATATATATATATATATATATATATATATATGTTAAGTGATTTTTCAAAAGTTGTTTGTATGTTGTTGCAAATTTTATTTGAGTTCCAGCTTCTGTAGTCAGGAGATAAATACTTGTTGCAGCAATTATTTCTGCTCTTTGTGAGGAAAGTATATATTGTTCAGAGTGTTGTCGTTTGTATTTTTTGTTAATGAGTCCCATTTGTTTTGTTGCAACTTTCACATAAAATATCCAACTTATTTTTTACACCTTACTGTTTGTAATTGTTTTTAGGTGTTTGGACGTACCCAGTCTATGCCAGGAACTGAAACCATGCTCACAAAGCCCGTTGAGAAACAGCATACAGATACCGTCGTTAACTTCCTTATTAGGATTGCATGCCAGGTAAGATCTGCACAATGACTGCCAACCACTCGAGCATATCAGTGTTTGAATTGATGTTGTGAGCACGATTCCTTTAGTGTCCTAAACTTGTAACATTTAAACAAGCTTTTCGAATAGGAACGAATAATGAGGATCATCCGAAAAGACTCTCACTTCTTGAAAATATATTTACAGCGACCTTAAACTTAAATTGGTGTCCTTAAGAACAGCTGAATGAGTACAAACAGAAAAAAAGTGCTTTAAGCATCCCTTCAAGCAGCTGTCCCTTGCTTTAGTGGCAGTTTAGACCTTTGCTACAAGCCTAAAATAGTCTTCTAAAATTTCACTCACCTTGAATTTTTCTGCTTTTTTGGGCCAAGCTTAATTTTTTTTTCCTGTTCATCCAACCATCGCTAAATATAACCTTCTGTATTACCTCTGGGGATCACTCACTGCTAGCAAGGCAGTCTACAGAAACATAATCTTCTCTTTGTATTCGACCTGATAACAGTGTATTGTGATACTAAATTGATCCCTGTAGAAAAACATGTTTTCAGTGGCCCAAGGGATTAACATCAGCTAAAGGACACCACACCTAGAGCTGATAGGGATTCAGTGTCTTGGTCAAGGATGCGCCTGCAGCGTGTATGATTGTCACTGTGAAGGATTGTACAAAAGCTCTTTTATTGAAGAATGGTTCTGCTTCTGAAGCTCTCTGTGTTGGAAGCCTATATTCATTAATGCCTTATGTGGTTATACTCGATGCCTCCTATTGCCTCGTGTGATTTCTTACCTCTTCAGGACACCATTGTGATGCTGAAAATGAAGCCCCAGTGTTATTAACGATAATGGTACCAGACTTCCTTCCCTGCTTGTGTGTAGGTGAACGAAAGCACCAACGTGGCTGGGTCTCCTGGGGAGTTGCTGTCCCGTCGCTGTGTTAGTTTGATGAAAACTGCCCTGAGGCCTGATATGTGGCCTCGCGCTGAGCTCAAGCTGCAGTGGTTTGACAAGCTTCTAATGACAGTGGTAAGATGGCATGTGCCTTCACAATGATCGTCATTATGCATAATCTACTGCTGTCATCTGTCATACAGCCACATTCACTCTGGTAACTTTTGGGTGCAAAGCGCAGCATCACTCTTTTATTCTTCGTATTTTTCCATGCACTTTTATTGCCTTTTGGTGGTGGACAGTGATGTTTTTGTCTGTGTTTGTTGCCAAAATATTTCCTGAATCACTGGATGCATTTTAATGAAACTCTCAGAAATTAAACATCTACAACTGGTTTACTTTTGAATTTTACCCGATTCAAGATGGCCGCCACAGTTAAGTGACCGTATCAAACACAAAGATGACTAACTCTGTCCACTTGATGGGTATTGGGCCTAATTTTGTGGTTGTAACTTATATTATTTTCCAGGTTTGACCAATGACTCTAACTCTACATTTCCTTTGATGATCTTAGTCTAAAACTTGGCCATGAAAGGTGGTGGGCAATTTATATTTCTTCAAGAAATGCTAGGCTTTAAATTTTATTTAAGTATATATTTTCATGTGAACATTTCACTAAGTGTTTGGAACAGCTTGCACCACAAGTCGTGCACAGTATGTTTCAGCAGGCAATTTAAATCAAATTTAAAATATTCTAGCTGCTGTTGTTGCATCGCCCAGCATTAAGCTGCAAGCAGCGGACGCCTTACTGGAGAACTTTCCACTTAAACTCCATCTTAGTGTTTGTTTTATCACCTCAGAGTCCTTTGTCTGTTATCGGTAATACACAAAGTGAGGCGCCAACAGCAGTAATGGCAAAATAATGACAGTGGTGAGATAACCGGAGTCTGTTCGGGTTGGCCCGTGCCTTCCTATTCAGCTCACCCTAACCCTGCTTCTTCTTTCCTACCTCCTCATCCTTGCTTTTCATATTGTCCCCACTTTGGCTTTCTGCATATCTCCTTGCCTTTCCCCTCGGTCTCTAACCACTTCCTTTTCTCATCTCTTTTCAATCCAAACCCTTATCTCAGCTTGTGCTTCCTCTCTCCTTCACTATTTCTCTCAGTCTCTCTACCTTTTTCTATTTATCCATTCCTCTCTCCTTTTCTACTCGCCACCCATGCCTGATCAGACAGGGGTTTCTGCATGTGCACACATTGATTCCACACATTGTCACACATTTCCCTTGCTCTCTTTTGGGGATCACTTCATCAGCCAGTCTTTTCACTTTGCCCCCCACCCCTTCACACAGTCCACCCCTATAGATCCCAACGGGTCTAGTCTGATAAACGGGCCTTTCTGTGGGTTTTATGTAGATGGACACACACAAGGTCTTCCTACTCCTGTGGGAGAGAGCTCTACCTGCTCAGCCATCCCACTCAGATTAATGAACAATGCTCTCAGTTGGATTACCTTTTATCATCTTATTGTACATACATGGCAGTGATTAGGCAACAGGGGAGTGGTGTAAGAGGTTAGATGTGAAGCATTAGGGGACAACATCAGCACACAATCACAACAAGCCCATTCACTTCCATGTATAAAGTCTCTGTTTGGCTTTGAAAGCAAGCTCTGTTAATACACTGCCAAATCAATAAGACCCTTATATCTACTACCAGCCTTATCACAAGAGTCACCTCGTTCATTAGGCAAGATTAGCACCATAAATCTGTGGAAGATTATCCTCTTGGCCCTGCCAGTGTAAACTTTGATTGCAATTTAGACAAAATTAGGCCATTGATCTTTGATTTAGCAGCCATCACAATGCCTTGTTTTGGTGTGAAGTTAGTACTGCTGTAGTGTGGATTATTATCTCTGTTATTGTGACAGTGTATTTGATTAAAACTGTTTTTGTTAATCCATAGATTGAGTTATTTTGTTTTAGAATAGTACATTTGTGACTAAACAAGATGGAACGTTAAAAGCAATTTCACTAACATTTCATTCTGTACCGTCTCAGGAACAGCCAGCGCAAGCTAACATCTCGAACATCTGCACCGGTTTGGAGATTCTCTGCTTCCTGTTGACGGTGCTGCAGTCGCCTGCCATCCTGGCCCATTTCAAGCCTCTGCAGCGAGGGATCGCCGCATGTATGACCTGTGGCAATACGAAAATTCTGCGGGCTGTTCATTCCCTTCTCTCTCGTCTCATGAGCATCTTCCCCACTGAGCCAAGTAAGCTTCAAAAACCTGACGCTTTGCATTACATGGTGTGGTTGGAGTACGACCCTCTAGTTTTTGGTTGTAGGTAAAACCATAAAACTTCTACAGATGATTTCTGTGGCAGTACATGATCCAAGGTTCTGACCAAGTCAAGCTGGTGTCTTACAATAACGTGTAAATACTGCAAACAGCTGAACGGGCAGGGAAAATAATCACTGATGTGCTTGATTTCTTCATTTAGGTACAAAAATGTCATATGTGCACAACAATAGCACATTATACTCATGGTTATGATTATATAAGCATGTTTACTTACAAGTATTGATTTACTTTTGTTTCTCAGTAGTGCTAAATGTTGCTCTTCTATCAACTTGGGGCAGCTGTGGCTGAGTGGTTAGAGCAGTCGTCCTCCAATTGGAGAGTTGGGGGTTCGATTCCACCAGCAGTCACATGCTGAAGTGTCCCTGGGCAAGACACCGAACCCCTCATTGCCTCTGATCGGTGTCCCATCAGTGTAAGAATGTGATAAAGCACTGATTAGTCTTTGTATAGATCTAGTAGAGAGATGTATGAATGGGTAAATAGAGCACAGATTGTGTTGTAAAGCACTTTGAGGATCTCTACAAGATAGAAAGGTGATATATAAGTAAAGTCCATTTACCATTCTAAAATACAGTTAGACTATTTTGTCCCTAAAGTCACTCTTTACTCCTTTATAGCCATCGTTTGTGGGTTGCTTTAGACAAAATTATCAGTTAAATCTATTTAATATAGAAAAACTCAGAAGAAACATGTAAAAATTGATGTATGCACACTCAAGTAAGTTATGTGTGTGTGTGTGTGTTTGTTTGTTTCAGGTTACCTTGTAGTGACCAATTTTACAAAAAATCATGCATTGTGGGAACCAACTGCTCTTTATGGGGACCAAAGCTAGGTCCCCATAAGGATAAGTCTCGTTGGGGGGTTAGGTTTAGGACTAAGGTGTAAATTGCAGATGGATTATGGTTAGAGTTAGGCATGTACTAGTAATGGTTAGGTTTAGAGTAAGGGTCAGGGTTTGGCTATAAAAAAAATGAATGGAAGTCAATGCAAAGTCTCCAAAAAGTATGTTTACAAGAACGTGTGTGTGTGTGTGACTTCTGCTTTAAACAAGCTGCTAAGATCATGAACTGATCACCTTGTTGAGAAGGTATCTTCTGCCAAGTAAAAGGACGCAGAGCAGAGGTTGCAGATGGAACCTATCGCACTGAACCAGGCTAAAGAAAAATGTCTTTTATCCCTAAATTATCACAAGAACATCTTAGACTCAGAAAATCATCAATGATTTTCTCCTTTCTGAGAAATTGGTAACTCCCCGCTGCTCTTCACTAAACCCATTAAACTATTTATTATTGATTTTTATTTTCTCCTTTGTTGCACTATTATGGAAAGTAAAAGGCTAGGACTTTTCACTTCTTCCTTTTTTTTAAAGCAGACATAATATATTTCCAGGTACATCAACCGTGGCTTCTAAGTACGAGGAACTGGAGTGTCTTTATGCTGCTGTGGGCAAAGTTATCTACGAGGGCCTTACCAACTATGAAAAAGCAACAAGCAACACTAACCCCACACAGCTTTTTGGTAAGACAAGTACTCTTCTTTTTTTTTTCCTTCATTCTTTTCAACAGCTTATTTATTTTTCTTTCCATTTTCCTCTTCCCACAAAATTAAATAGGGTCTCTGTCGCTTTTAGGAGTTAAACCAATGAGCGAGGTAAAGTGCAAGCTGGTGGGCGTTGTTGAAGCTAACATCTGGTTTGGTACTGATTATCTTGGGAAGGAATGATTGCTGTACTTAAAATCCACCAAGATGTCAAAGTATTTTTATAAAAACGGATGTATTAAGTAGTTTACTGTTTTCCAAGCTGACCCGGTGCGTTTGATACTTTTCTGTTGCTGCAAGGTAGCTCTGATTTGACGCATCTGTCTGGCCAGGGAGGGTGACACTTTAACATTTGTTTCCCCTCCAGGGAGCAGCAGCTGAGTGGGACTTTACTCGTTATTCTTCCTGCCTTTGTAGAACTTAAATAAAAGAATCACACAGCAGATACATTGTCATGAAGGAACACCAGCTGACTACAGCTGTGTGTGTTCCCGTTAACGTGCCCAGGAGAGGTTAAGGTTCCTGTCAGGTTGTTTGTATTTCCAGGTTTTTGCTCCCTTCATCCTCTTTTCTTCCCCTTCATTTGTCATCCAGGGACTCTGATGATCCTGAAGTCCGCCTGCAGTTATAATGCCAGCTACATCGACCGCCTTATCTCTGTATTTATGCGCTCACTACAAAAGATGGTCCGGGAACACCTTAGCCCCCAGCAGGCGAACTCAGGGGTCACTGAAACCAGTACAGGTACACATACAGGCATGTATGATGACATTTTATTTAAGTATACCTACTGTCTTTTTACTGTTGGTCAAAGTAAGATTTGTCTGTCTTTGATAAATATGGACCAGTATGAGATTCTGATGTTATGATAACCTACCACATTGAAACATATTGTTTACCTGCTAACATGCTAACTCTTGTAGCTTTGTTGTAAATGTTTGATTCAGTATAGTGTTTTTTTTTTAAAGAGAAACAGGTGTTGTTGCCCTGGTATATAAGCCATGACTGACTGTTATCCATTGGATAAAACATACAACCACTCAAAGTTTTCATTTAACAAGCACAAACGTTTAGGAGACATTCTCCCAACTCTACTGTACAGAACTGAATGATAGCTCAGGGCAACAGGTTGGACATTGAATAAGAAAATAAAAAGTATGCTCTGTCTCTACTTTTTATCCATTTAAACCTATTGATTCGCTGGAAAAACTTAATGGTTTGGACATTGTAACTTTTTAACACCGTCGTATGCAGTACCGTATTTTCCGGTGTATAAGTCGCATCAGTCAAAAAAAAGCATCATGAAGAGGAAACAAAAACATACAAGTCGCTTTGGTGCATAAGTCGCATTTATTATGCGTTAATTTAATGTTCAGAACAGCTTCATTTCACCTGGGTGGTGCCATCCATCCATCCATTATGACTGGAGCCGCTAGCTCTCCAGCGTTCCTCTGCCTGCACCAGCTGAGTGAAGCGAGCGTGCACGGGAGGACTCGCTGTTGCAGTTCTTCGAAATTTAAAGCGGCAGTTCAAAATTGCGTTACGAGTATGGAAGAAAAAAAAAGACGTAAATAAGTTGCTTCGGCGTATAAGTCGCAGGACTGACCAATCTATGCAAAAAACTGCCACTTATACGCCGGAAAATACGGTATTTACCTTGAAACTGGTAACTGACCCGTGCCTAGTCTTAAATTGTTTAAAATTAAAGATTATAATTGAGTTACATGAAGACTAGATTTAGCCTCGCAGCCTGCAATTCCTGTTTTCTTGGATAAACCTGTTTGCTGTAAATTTAAACCTGATCTCAAGTTCCCATCCCTTTTATAGCTCGGAGGTTTTCCCCACACACCACGAGACATCAACTACCTCATCAGGGACGTTAAAGTTTGTGGTTATCTTTTATCCATCAAGAGGTTGAACAACCCTCACATTGTGAGCCTCTGCACATCTCATGTATCTCAACAGTACCAGATACTAAACAAAGTGTGTATCTGAGGTTCTGTCCTCCTCTTTGGTTAGAGGGTATCCTCTCCATAGATAGTCTGGTTTCACAGGGACTGTTTCTCAGCTTTGGTTTCAAGTCTATTGTCCCCATTTGTCGCTCTCTATAAAGAAATATCTTGTTCATTTTATCTTGGGGTTTATAAGGATGCTTCGGTGCAGTAATGGTAAATAAATAAAAAAAAAACTATTGAGCTTTTTTTGTTGCTGCAATGAAATATATTTTATTGTGGTCCAATCTTCAGTTTTCTCTTTTGAGCTCGACCCTCAGCTCTGGCAGAACATACAGTAGCTTCTGTTGTTAACTCACGTGGGAGATAATGGCTATAAGATACAATCAGTGTTTTCAATGGGCCCCTAATGACTGTATCGGGAAAAGCACACATTAGACCTCCCCACCATGAGTAGTTACAGTCACTTAGACCAAAGGCTATCTGACCAGCGAGGCCTTCACCTCTAAAGGGTCTTCAGGTTTCAGTAATTCAATAAACTTGACTCGAGCATTTCCATCCTGGTCGTGCTCGAGCTGCTTTTTGACTACGGAACAAAAGTAGACCTTACAACACTGCTGTTGATGTGACTATAGTAGGTGATTTAAAGTAGTACAAGATGAAGCAGTTGCACGTCTTTATTTTAGAAACAGAGGAAACGGTCTTATTATAACGCCCTGATTACTGAGATTACAACCATTTAAGCATGCATTTACCTTAGCTGCACATTTTTGGCTGTTTTTACAGTGACAAGCGAGCTGGTGATGCTGAGCCTTGACCTGGTGAAAACTCGACTGTCTGTCATGAGCATGGAGATGAGGAAGAACTTCATCCAGGTCATTCTTACGTCTCTGATTGAAAAGTCACCCGACCCCAAAATTCTTCGAGCTGTGGTCAAGATTGTGGAAGAGTGGGTGAAAAACAATTCTCCTATGGCCGCCAACCAGGTGAGCACGCGTTTTACAATTGAGGGAGCTTAACTTTAACACAGCACTGCGTTAGATTAAAATATACCAACACATACATTGGAAAAGTACAATTAGTTTTTCATATGTATTCGTTGGAAAAACAAATCAAGGTAAGCACATTCTTCAAAGGTCCTGTAAGGTTAGCATCACCAGAAAATTCACAGAATTTTTTATTTTTTTTGTCTTCCCTCTTCATAGCTGCTCATTTTTATGACATTATTTCCTGTCCATTTGAACTGTAATTGATAACCCATTTCCTCTTCAGATGCCAAACCTGCGCGAGAAGTCCATCTTGCTGGTGAAGATGATGACCTACATAGAGAAACGTTTCCCCGATGAACTTGAGTTAAATGCCCAGTTCCTGGACCTCGTTAATTACGTCTACAGGTAATTACTGCCATTCATCACACGGCCAAATGGCCGTGGTGCTGATGGCAGACCGCCCTTGCATCCATTTTAACACAAGCGATGAAGGTCAGAGGGTTGAGTCTGGTTAAAAAAATAAAAAAAAAAACCAAGTGAGGAGGATCGTATTTGAATAATCAGTGCTCTGTTCATGATTGGGGAAAAAAATATCTGACGATATGAGTTGTTAAATAGAAAAAATATATTCTCGAAGGCACAGAGGAGCTGTGTGGGTAATATTTTTACAGTAAATGAAAATAAAGAAAAAAAATCCCAGAGAAGGTTGATGGTCTTACAGAAGTTCACCACTGGGTTACAGCAGGATCAGGACTCACGGCAGCAGAGAGGTCAGAGAGGAGAGACTTTTCTTTTCTGCCTACAGTCTAATCAGAGCATCAATCTTTCCTCCTCACACTCATACACTTTTAATCATCTTAAAGTACCCAGCATCCCCCATCAGCTTATCATGTCACAAGACTTATGTGGTAAAGCCGTGATGGACAGCGTGTATTGATAATGGAATGATAAAGCAGCCGTGACAGAGGGGCGATTAGGGAAAAACGGCACAAATATGGACGACATGCAGCTGCAGCAGCCTGGCATCTGTCGTCCATTTTACTCCACCTTCGTTTTCTTCTTCTACTTTGGGAATGGTTTCTACAAACATCCTTTTGTCCAACAAGACAATACAGAAATAACGGTGTTTGTTACCTAAAACCTATGCAGTAATGTTACTATCACAACAGGCTGTTATCAGAGGAGCAGAGTTTTGTCAATTTCATGTTAGCTGCAGTTCCCTCAAGGTAATAAATGGAAATTTACACAGGTGAACAGTTTTGTGATGTTTTTTGACTAAGTTTTGTTCCTATAATAAATTTTAAAGGCTTGCTTGTCTTCCTGTGATAACCTGTCAAGTACAGTATTTTCCGGTGCGTAAGTCGCAACTTTTTGCATAAATTAGCAGGTCTGCGACTTATACAGTATTTGTTTTTTCCCTCCACATTTATAACTCAATTTTTGGCTGAGATCTTATGATTTCATTCATTTTGACATGGAAAATCTTGAACACTACCATTTTCAGCCACTAGAGGGCCCTCGACCTATATGGCAATCCAAGTGTCTCATTAATAGGTAAACGTGGTTATTATTGAGACACTTGGCTTGCCGTACCAAGCCACCTTTGTCCTGCTCCAGAACTCCTGGAGCAAACATCAAAGTGAGTTTATTAAGGAAAGGTTAAACTGAGACACACCTTTGCTATGTCGAGTGGTTATCTTGTTAAATTTCAAAGAAATGCACAGCGAGTCGTCCCTCTGCGCGCTCCCACTTCTACGAATCTGCTTTTGAAATGCAGCTGATTTCACCGTCAAAGTGCAGGAAAAGTTAAACTGAGTCACACCTTTACTATATTTTCGAGCAAACAAATAATTGTTTTTAAGCGTTAATCTTGGTAAATTTTTGTTAAAGTCCTCCTGTGCACGCTCCTGCGGCCGCCATTTGGCAGCCAATCGATTTTTGGCACAACACCGGCCCACATTTTCCAGGTTGTCAGCGGTGACACGTAATAGATGTGACTTACACAGCGAAGCGACTTATTTATGTTTTTTCTCACTTTATTAGACATATATTTGTGCTGATGTGACTTATACGGCAGTGGGACGTGTACGGCGGCAAGTGCGGTAATAAAAACGTTTGTGCTGGGTACTAATATTTGGATTTGTTGAAAGTCATTCTAATAGTTAAAATGTTCATTTATACACGAGTTAAATTATTGTAAAAATGATATATATGTCTATGATTATGCCCTCTAATGGCAATTACCGGTACTTGTTTTAAAACATTTATATATATTTACAAAAGTAATTGTTTGTAAATACAAATAAGGATTGAATCCAAAATGAACACCTTCAAAACAGCAGGAGAGTAAAACTTGACATTTGGAAGATTAAACTAAGTTTAACTCTTCTATTTGGTGTATAAAGAATTTAACAGCAAAGCAATTGAATGAATTCAGCTTACTGATATTGATTGTCATTTATTATACTGTGTATTTTTATTATTTATTATTATTTAAAAGATTTTCTTTATTTTATATAAATATTTCAAACTTAAACTGTAAATTTTTTTACATAGTTTGACAGTGATGCTCAAACGATTTTGTTACATTTTGTACTATATGTGGGATTAATTTCAGAAGAAAACTTTATTTAATAAAAAAAATAGGTTATTTTGTCATATTTGTGAAAAAGAAGGAAAAGCAGCCTTTGACAAAGTTTAAAGCACGTCAAGTCCTAAACCTAAAATCTTATTATTCTTATTATTGTTTATTACTTTCATAGTTCTATCAATGCCTGCTGCCTTTACTGTTGTCTACTGATGAAAAGTTCAGAATGTGTAAGCTTTCCGTTGTACTTTTTTTCTGACAGGGACTTTTAAAAATAAACTGGGTAAGAAGCACCACCCAGTTCTTTTTATTATTGTTATTTTTCCCATTTTTCAGGGATGAAAGCCTTTCAGGAAGTGACATCACGTCCAAGCTTGAGCCAGCTTTCCTCTCAGGGCTTCGCTGCAGTCAGCCATTAATCAGGGCCAAGTTTTTTGAGGTGTTTGATTCCTCGATGAAGCGCCGCGTCTACGAGAGACTGCTCTACATCTGCTGTTCTCAGAACTGGGAGGCCATGGGCAGCCACTTCTGGATCAAACAGTGCATCGAGGTAAACACAGCTGAGCTCTTAAAGCCATTTACTTTGCATTGTCTTGTCGCACTGAACTTGTTGGGCTTTTTCCGCCATTTGAGGTCATCAAAGCTTTTACGCCATTTACCTGTTTACCATTTTTCACTTATTTTTTAGTTGTTACTGGCAGTGTGTGAACGAAACACAATCATTGGCACTAGCTGCCAGGGATCTATGCTGCCTTCTATAACCAACGTCATCAACCTGGCTGACAGTCATGATCGTGCAGCCTTTGCCATGGCAACACACGTCAAACAGGAGCCACGCGAACGGGAAAACAGCGAGACCAAAGAAGAGGTTGGACTTACAGATGCACTCCTGACAATGTGCTATTATAAGTATTTTGATTAGAAGAGTGGAAACAGTTGAGCCACTCTGATAGAAATAAATGTACATGCTATTAGCACTTGCTTATGAAGAATCCTAAGAAGCTAACTAATTTGCATATAGTCAAAGGGTTCTTTTTTTATACTTTTTATTTTATGTAGGAAGTGGAGATTGACATTGAATTAGCGCCAAGTGACCAGACAGCCATTCCTAAGACCAAGGAGCAGGCTGAAAGAGACACAGGCAACCAACTGCACATGCTTACCAACCGGCACGACAAATTCCTGGACTCTTTACGAGAAGTCAAGGCAAGGCTACCTATCTACACAATGTTCTTTAGTTTCTTTATGGTTTTTCTTTTTTTTTTTTTTTACTGTGAGAAATGACTTATGGTGCTTTGCCGCTGTCTCAACTCTCATCGGTTCCACACAACACCACATCAGTTAAGGGCCTAACCACTGCCAGCTCCCTCCTCCACTCCGATTGGTTTATGGGGCGACCTCGTTGGTGGTTCCAAGTGGGCTGTTCTGAGGTGACGGTTTTGATGCAAGCAGACAGCAGCTGTTGATATGCCAGTGGAGCTAAATCACTGGATGACCTGCCCAGCAAAACTTCAAACTACATCTGAATCTCCACTTCTTCATCGTGTTGACGGGCGGCACAACAAGAAAGGCATTTACAGAGAGATATCGGAGGTGATGGTGCAGCATGGCTACACCTGGACTTATAAACAGTACCAGGATAAGCTAAAGAAATTGAAGTTTGATTATAGGGAGATGAAGTACCACAACCAGCTGAATGGCTCTAACACTATGACCTGTTACGATACCGCCCACTTTACATTGATGATCCCGCCCAGTGAGCGGTGGAACAAATCACAGTGGATCACCTACACCTGAGAAGAACTGATGAGACGAGCCGAGTGTAAATGCACTTATCAATGGCAAAGTGGCTTTTCTGTCAGTCTTAGAGAAGGTGGGCCTGTGATTGGAAGGTCGCCTGTTCAACTTCCCAGACCGACAACATCAGAATGTTGGTGGAAAAGGTGAAGCACCCACACCTGTCTACACCTTCATATGCCCCACTCTAGGCCATTGAGCAACACCCTTAACCCACCATCTGCTCCTCTGGGCGCCCTAGATGGCAGCGCTCTGCTCCACACAGAGGGCTGTGGTAGCTCGGTGGTCTGCGGTTGTGTCAGGAATGGCATTTGGCGTAAAAACTGTTGCCAAGTCTTTGTGCAAGTTAGTCGTTGTGGCGGCCCCTGAAGAAGGGAGCAGCCGAAAGAAGAAGAAAGTTATATGTTAAGCACCTTTTGTAGCCCAGTTTTATTGTTATTCAAGTCATCAGACCGAGTATATTTTTGCTACTGAAGTGACTGTGGATCTGTCAAAACAGAGATTTTGTTCTATCTGAAGTGCTTTCTGATGTGACCAAACTGAAGCGTCTCTACTACCAAGTTAGTCAAGAAACAGACTTTTTTGACATGCGTTGGCGCGGTCTGCTCTTTTGGAAATTACGCCCAGCACAATCCAAAGTTTAATCTCTGTCATGGATTTGACTTTCCTCAATTAAATACACAAAATTAGCCAATATTGTAAATGTATACGCTTGACATTACAGCAAAAAGCAGACCCAGCACATCTTAAAATGCTTTCTGATCAATGGTTGCATTGAATGACTGACAGCTTTTCCTAGCTGTTTTAATTTAGCTCTGAAGGCTAAACCCTTGTTCCTTTCCATTTTGCTCCCCCATTAGAGAACAAAATTACCAGTGCCACCTCAGTGCTTTTTCTGATTTCCTGTGGGAGGAAAAGTTCCTCGCGCTACCAGGAAGCACAGCGTACATTTCCGTTTCGCAGAAAGAACGATTCTGCATGGCCACAGATGTGCTCCAGTTGGTAGCTCTTCTGTGTCCGGTGCTTTGTCCACATGTTAATGATTTTACGTAATTTATTTGATCACGATGCTGCAACAAGAGCAGGGTCTCATTCATGCCTATCATTCATTTATTCATGGTACAGAAACCTGTTAATGAAGCTTCTGTTAGGTTTTTCTTTCGAATCACTGTTGAGGAGCAGAAACGATCTTCATGGGTAATAAAGCGAGTATACCAGAGTGTGCACGTGTATCGGGCATAATATTGATCTGTTTCTAGACTGACTTGGTGGTAGTAGAGCTTCTGTGATTAGCCACACCACAGGGATTCTTCCCAAGACAATGAGCAAGGTTTAAAAGTTTTTAAGGCAAATGATCCAAACCTCTGCTCTTCTAAGTAGTAGGTTCTAATTATTTTGTTCTCTGTGTCAGACGGGCGCTCTTCTAAATGCCCTGGTCCAGCTCTGTCACATCTCCACACCTCTGGCTGAGAAGTCCTGGGTTCAGCTTTTCCCTCGCCTCTGGAAGATCCTGTCAGACAGACAGCAACATGTAAGTGTAAATCATTCATCCATGTCTTGTTGCTCTCAGGACAGAAAATAGTTACAGCTAGGCCTGTCACGATAACAAATTTTGCTGGATGATTGTCTCAGAAATTATTGCGGTAAACGATAATATTGTTTGAAATTTGACAATAATTAGTAATTATTGTCAAACTTAAGAAGAAATGTTGGTTAATTTTTGTGTTTAGTACCTTTTTTGGACACTGGATGGCAGTATAAGACTGTTTGAACCAAAGGATGGATAGTGAGGGAGTGAGCAGCGTGTCTCTTTAAGAAAAATAGGAGGGAGGCCCCTTGACGTGACATGGGTTGTCTCTCGTTCCTGTTTTTTGGTTCTGAAAATGGCGGATGCTCCGTGCGGTTTGAGCTCTTTAGCATAGCATTTGTCACACAAAGCTTTTAATAAAGAATCAGTAAACAAGTTCTCAGCTTCTTTTTGCAGAGAAAAACAACTTTTTAGATGAAGGCACGGGTTTCAACCATGAATTTTGGAGCTTTGACAAGACGGAGGTTTTGTTCCTGATGTCAGCCTGTTAGCTTAGCTCATAGCTTAGCTTCTCAGCTTAGCTGCTTTTAACAATCCTAAAACGCGATTTTGGACGGTTAAAACAGATTTTAAAGGGAAAGTGAAGAGCTCCAGAGTTGAGTCTTTTGTCATCCGTTGTCTTCAGTAGAAAGAGAGAGACACGAAGAAACGATAAAGCCGATAAATGAAAATGAGGTCGATAATTTTCATTTATCATGCGATTAATTGTTGTATTGTTTATTGTGACAGGCCTAGTTACAGCTAGATGTTTGAAGCATTGTTATTATTGAACAAATTGGAAATTAATAGCACAAATTTATTGTTCGTTGCTGCCCTTTTATGGATCCTATAGTCACCGTTAGTAACCTGGAAATATCTTGTTGGCTTGCGGTTCTTTTAAATCAAGGACAGATTAATTTATGCTAAATAAAAAGTAGGCAAGCAAAGATTTGCCTAATGAACCAGATGCATGTGGAGTGTTTTTAAACTCAGAAACCCTGATTTTAAGTGATTGAACTCTTGAACATCTGACACATTCAGTGACCTGTAAGATTTAAATGTTCACAGGCTTGTGGTCACAAATGTCCCACATGTCTTTAATGTGATGCTTGTTTCATTTCACACCTTTTTTTAACACTACTCTGCAACTTTGTGTTTCTGGGTTAGCTGTTACAAGTAAATTAAAATAAAAATTTCCTTCGGAAAGAACTGGATTGGCATTCTGCAGCAGCAGCTTAATTAAACAACTCACTGCTGTCAACGGACATATTCATTTCTGATACATCAATGTGTGTCAGTCAGGACTTTTGAAGCACTAACCCCATTGATCATGTTCAAAATCACACGCAGCTTTTCAGAATACACAAAGTGTCCATATGCTGTTCAAACCTGTATGTTTCACAGGTTTTACATGACTTTTACAGCTACAAGAGATGTATTCTTTTAGAACTGAGCAAAAAGATTTAAATTACTTTTGCTTTAATTTAGACTAGGGATGCACCGATCCACATTTTTTTAACTTCCAATCCTGATCCCTAAATCTGGATACCTGTCGATACTGATACTATTCCGATACCGTTCCGATAGCATCGTCATTATTGATTTTATACGAGACTATAATAAACTCCTGTCTACAGGCAAGTATAATTTGCACAAATATATGCATGCATGTCCAAAAAGTCAACTTGGGGTAAGTGTAAGGTCAGAAAAGGAAGTCAGAAAAACAGGAAATTGTGTTAACTGGAAAAATCCAATGCTGAAAACGTTGTCCAGTGGAAGTTTACGTTGCTGTTGGAACGACTCTAGAAGCGATTTTTGACGGCTCCTTTCATCTTTCTTCCGCCTGGCTAAATAATCCTCATGCTCTGTAATGTGGTGCTTTTTCAAATGTTTGATTAAGTTTGTTGTATTCTAGGTCACGACGGAGCTTCCTCCTCTCGATACAGCAGCTTTGCAGACGTTGCATGTTGCTGTCTTGCTTTGCGATGTTTCTAGTGAAAATACTTCCACACAGTGAACATGTTGCGATGAAAAGTTGGTTAGCCGTTAGCCACAGTGCTGCTCAGTCCTCAATGCTCACATTTTAGTTGGCTGCAAACTATGAAATGGATTTCCTGAATGTGAGGTGGGTCTTCCTACTCTGGGTTTCATGAGACGCACCTCCGTTCAGGAAGTCCATTCCACAGTTTGAAGCCAACTTGCAGAGCAGCGGGCAGGGAATCACATGGAGACGTTTCAGCAGACACAGACATGCATCATGGATCAGAAATCTCTGCAGGTTGAATCGGAAAATTCAGATACGTAAATTATGCTGGTATCTGAACCCAATACTGGATCGGATCGGCCCCATCCCTAATTTAGACTATGAATTACTTGTATTACACACTTTGGTGACTTCTCTAAAAGGCCTCTGATTAACTTGTTTCTTGTGGTTTAGACACACAGTAAGGCAGCATAAAATGTGTCATTTGTCCCCTTCCAGTTCTCTAACTTGCTATCTTTTACCGCTCTTTTCCTGTTTCGCAGCTCTCTTACTGGAAAATGGCATCATGTTGCATCCTGCCAATGAAACACAATGCCTTTATCAATATGCCCTATCATTGCATTACTATTAAAGTAAAAGAAGGTAGTTGATGAGCTTTTTTCTCGCCCTCAGGCTTTGTCTGGTGAAATGAGTCCTTTCCTGTGCAGTGGCAGTCACCAGGCCCAAAGGGACTGCCAGCCCAGTGCCCTGAACTGCTTTGTGGAAGCCATGTCTCAATGTGTCCCTCCGATTCCCATCCGGCCCTGCGTGCTGAAGTATCTGGGCAAGACGCACAACCTCTGGCTGCGCTCCACCCTCATGCTGGAGCAGCAGGCCTTTGAAAAAGGCCTGAGTCTGCACAGTAAACCCAAGCAAAGCACAGAGTTTTATGAACAGGAGAGCATCACGCCGCCTCAGCAGGTAATTCATTTATTCATTATTAGTGCCGTTTATTTGGACTTGCTTATTTATTGTTATCCTTTTAGCTGTGTGAGCTTTAATAAGGTGCTATATGTTGGAAATTTGGCCTTTTATTTCGTTTGAAATAATATTTTATGTGGTTCTTCTAAATTACAGTCAACAGCATCATTCCTAAATTTGTATTCATTTTGTCTCACTTTCCTGTAGGAGATTTTGGACTCCCTCGCTGAGCTCTACTCTCTGCTCCAAGAGGAGGATATGTGGGCAGGCTTGTGGCAGAAGAGGTGCAAGTTTCCTGAGACTGCAACAGCCATTGCTTACGAGCAACATGGCTTCTTCGAACAGGTGAGAAAAAACATTTAGTAAGAAAAAAACAAATTATCTTAGTCTTTTTTTTAATGGCCGATTGCAGCAAATGTATTTTAATGTTAATAAGCCCAAGTTCCAGAAATCTAGTTAGTCAACTATGATTGTTTTAAATGATTTTTGCTTGTGGTGCTGCAAAAGTGTATTGTTTTTTTTGTTGATGTGCTTGTAAAGTGTTAATGACCTAATATTTAGTTGTCTCAGACAGCATTGTAATTAACATTGTGCAACATGTATTTTCAGGCTCAGGAAAGTTATGAGAAAGCAATGGAAAAGGCAAGGAAAGAGCATGAAAGGAGCAATGTCTCCCCAGCCATTTTTCCTGAGTACCAATTGTGGGAGGACCACTGGATACGGTAGGATGTCTGAAACTAGAATATATTTTATAGATGATGCACCACTGACTGAATAAAATTAATTATTTGTGTTCGTTAGACTTCATACTTTTAAATCTGTCCATGTAATATTTCTCTTTGTGACTCACTGACCCACCATTTAAATGCAGAAACTATACAAGATTTTAGTGCCAACTGATCTCTTTTGACCCCCACCTCTAGCTGTTCCAAGGAGCTGAACCAATGGGAGCCATTGACTGAATATGGCCAATCAAAAGGTCACTCAAACCCTTATTTAGTGCTTGAATGTGGTTGGAGGGTTTCTAATTGGGCTGCTATGAAGGAGGCTTTGGTTCAGGTGAGTAAAGCTCATTCTCCATTAAAAAAAAAGTCATTTTGTACTCATTTTAATCAAGGTGTTTCAGGAAATGGTCTGAAAGAAAGTCTGGAAAACATTTGGTAACACAATCGGAGGTGATGAAAAAGTTTGTCATTCAAGGACATGTAAAAATAAAAAATAGTGCGCAAGAATGAAATTTTGTTCCACTGACTGTCAGTAGCCCTCATAAATACACATACAGTAGTCCTTCAATACTTCACAGTTCAACTTTCGCAGACTCACTCTTTTGCGGGTTTTCAGCGTATGATTGTGCGCATTGTTTCCCAGTGGCCTGGCCGTTCAGTGATCGCTGAGGCGTCCCTTCCTTTCTCTTTTTGAGGCTGTCAGCCTAAAAAAAAGAAAGGAGGGGCGGGATGGGGTCTGTCTTTCCCCATCGCTGCTGTGGAAGCTTCATTGAGGCGGATACCAGAGTGAGCGGCACAAATTCTTTATTTAAAATAATCTAGCGTGACCTGAACCTAGCCGACCCGAATCGAGCCAAACCCAAACCGGAAAATGTCCCGATGCTCCCGATGGCCAGTTCACCTCTGGGTGCTTATTAGCTCAGTAACCGTAGCACCAATCTATCTTTTGCAGTGCTCTTTGAGAGTGTTTAGAGAGTTTAGAACATTGTTAGGAAGAGTGTGGGAAGGGTTTATAAAGTCTTAGAATATGTATAAATACTAAAATAAATATAACGTCCCTACTTCACGGATTTTCACCTATCACTGAGTTGTCTGGAACATAACCCCCACAAAAAGTGAGGGACCGCTGTGTATACAGATACATACAAACTAGGGATGCACGTTATTGGATTTTTGGCCGATATCCGATTTGCTGATATGTTAAAACTTATTTGGCCGTTAACCGATACCAATAACGATATTTTTTTCCCCTAGACCTACTTAGAGAGACTAGCGTTCTCTGCTGTGGAGTTAAAATACATTATCCTGCATGGTTCTTGACTCTGTACCGGTCCGTTGTGGTGAAGAGAGAGGTGAGCTGTAAGGCAAAGCTCTTTGTTTACCGGTCGGTCTATGTTCCTACCCTCACCTATGGTCATGAGCTCTGGGTAGTGACCGAAAGAAAGAGATCGTGGATACAGGCGGTTGAAATGAGTTTTCTCTGCAGGGTAGCTGGACTCTCCCTTAGAGATATGGTGAGAAGTTCAGTTATCTAGGAGAGACTCAGAGTAGAACCGCTACTCCCCCACGTCGAGAGGAGCCAGTTGAGGTGTTTCGGGCATCTGGTAAGGATGCCCCCTGGGCGCCTCCCTAGAGAGGTGCTTCGGGCATGTCCAACTGGAAGGAGACCCCAGGGAAGACCCAGGACACGCTGGAGAGACTATGTTTCTCGGTTGGCCTGGGAACGCCTTGAAATCCTCCCAGAAGAGCTGGAAGAGGTGGCTGTGGAAAGAGATGTCTGGTCCTCCCTGCTCAAGCTGCTGCCCCCGTGACCCGACTTCGGAATAAGTGGAAGATGATGGATGGATGGATGGTCTTTGTCGATTTGGCCTGCTACCAAATGCAGATGCCAAAAAGGGGGCTGACAATGATGCAGCACTTCAACTTGGATTATGTTTATTGTCAAATTTATTCATGAGTTTTATTCTCACTAACACAATGACAACACTTGAACAGTGCAAATTTGTAAATATTCACAAATCTAAACTCGACAGCGCATGTGACATCATAACGTGCTGGCACTGCAGGCATCCTTGTCACTGGGTTGTCTAATATCGGTCAATACCATGCCGATAATATCGTGCATCCCTTACACAAACAACATTTGCCTGTAATGGTTCTGAACATAAAGGTCCAAAGTAACTCAGCTGAATACTTTCCTGTGTAGTGTTTTATTTTAAACATGGACCCTATAACAGTTTGTATACGTATGGTAAGTTGGTATTGGTGCTGTCCAGCCCCTCTGTAATCCGACACCTCCTGGAGAGTGAAAGATGAGACTGTAAAGCTGTGGAAATGCTGTTCAGCTGGTTTGTGTGTGAATTTAGTAGCTTCATGTTTCCTGAAACAAAATGTAGATGGGTGGCAGGTGTGTGATAGAGCCTGACATATAACAAATACGCCTGCTTTGCTCTTTCAAGGAGACTTGGAACCAATCCATCCAGCCGTTCTGTCCTTAGGCGACATCTAATTAAATTGTTTGGATGGCAACATCATCTCCACTATATCCTTCCCTTCTCGTTTCAGTCCTTTCCTCCTGTGTGTTCACTCCTGTCGCTTGTCTTGTCTCCCTAGTTTTTCTTCTTAACGTAGTTTTGTTTTACTTTTGATCTATTTATTTTTTTTTACTTTCCCCCCATCTTTTTGTTTTTTGCATCATATCTTTGGTTGTGAATATTTATGGCAGCTGTGTGAGTGAATAATTACTTCAGCATCTGCTGCGGGGTGATTTGTTTTATAGTGGAGGAAAGGAATGAGGCTTTCAGTTTCCTACCTGCAGACCTCTCAACAGCTCAGAGGCAAAGTCCAAATGTCCCTGCTTTCAATTAAAGCTCGCTCTTGATAAGGGCAGCCTTGTCTCAAGGATATTCATCAAGCCTCACCCCTGATAACTGCATTTTGACCGATCACTGTAATTTCCTCCAGCAGAGGAAGCGCTAACACAGATACACACCTACTTTTTTCACTTTTCTTATTGGCCTTCTCTCGTTCCGTGTTGCTGTCAGTGACCTATAAACACTAAACAGCTTGATGCAGGTGTGATGTAAGAGGCTCCCCATGGCTATTATTTGTTTAGTGTTAATGCACTCAGCGTTTTAATCAATAGCAGGACCTTTTCTACCTCTCCGCCTCTGTGCCGGGCTCGTAAGGTTTATTAGTCATTAGTACAAGCTGAAACTGTTAGAAAATGAAACCGCAAACAATATTGTTGTGCATTTATCTAAGTGGCAAATTATACAAGGAAAATGACTCAGGCTCCTTCCCTTCGGATGTTTTCATTTAATTAAAGCTGCCACATCACAGCCTTGTGAAGAGTATGCGTAATTCAGCTTGACATCACGGAGACAAAGATGCACAAAGAACAGCTCACCATGAACACGAGGTGTGTCACTTCCTGGGGAATTTGCCACCTATTTTAAACAAATTTAAGTAATCTGTTTCGGCTTCAACCTGCACCTCAGGTTTTTATTTTATCACATATTTTTTTATTATGTGTCATAGCTCAGTATAAATCAAGGTCTACATAAACATCAGTGCATTAATGAAATTATAAACTTGCTACCTATGAATAAGATTCTGGTAGATATTTTTGAAGGTACAAGGTTGAAGAAGGTATGCACAAAATTCTAGAAAAAGACCAATGACGCTTTGCCCCACTGTCTTGCTCTAATCAGTTCCGCATCACACCGCACCAGTTAAGGGTCTGCCCACTGCCAGCACCCACCCCACTCAGCTCAGTTTATGGGACCATCTTGTTTGTGGTTCTAAGCAAACTGCTCTGAGGTGGCGATTTTGACATAAGCAGACAGCAGCTGTTGATTGGCCAGCAGAGCTACATCACTGCATGATCCGCCCATCAAAACTGCAAACTACCGTATTTTCTGGCGTATAAGTCGCTTTGGCTTATGAGTCGTATTTATTATGCGTCATCGCTGACGTGTCGCGTTTATTATGCATTTATTTAATGGTCAAAACAACTTCATTTTGTCAGGGTGGCACAGCGCCATCCATCTATCCATCCAAACATCCTTCGTGGCCGGAGCCGCTAGCTCTCCAGCGTTCCTCCACCTGCACCAGCGGAGTGAAGCGAGCGCACACGGGAGGACTCGCTGTTGCAGTTCTTAGAACTTTAACCAGATTTAAACTTAAAACGGTTATTTGTTTGCTCGGCATTATACCAAAGGTGAGTCTCAGTTTAACTTTTCCTTAATAAATGCACTTTAATGGTCAAAACAACTTCATTTTGTCTGGGTGGCACAGCGCCATCCATCTATCCATCCAAACATCCTTCGTGGCCGGAGCCGCTAGCTCTCCAGCGTTCCTCCGCCTGCACCAGCTGAGTGAAGCGAGCGCGCACGGGAGGACTCGCTGTTGCAGTTCTTAGAAATTTAAATCGTCAATCAAAAATCGCGTTATGAATATGGGGGAAAAAAACGTATATAAGTCGCTTCGGTATATAAGTCTTACTGACAAATCAAAGCAAAAAACTGACTTATACGCTGGAAAATACGGTACATCTGAACCTCCACTTCCTGTCTGATTGTACTGACATACAAGAAATGAACACATTTACAGAGAGATATCAGAGATGATGGTGCAGCATGGCTACACCCGGACTTTTAAACAGTGCCAGGATAAGCTAAAGAAATTGAAGTCTGATTATAGGGTGATTAAGGACCACAGTGGGCGGAATGGTTCACACACAATGACCAGTTATGATTCCACCAACTTTGCATTGACGATCCCGCCCACAGAGCGGGAAACAAGTCACAGTGGATCACCTATACCTGAGAAGAACTGATGAGACAAGAGCCGAGTGTAAACGCTCGTATCAATGGTAGAGCGGCTCAAGTAATGTGCCTTTAGTGGCCACATTGAAAAATCTACAATTGGCCACACGTGATCAGTGGCCAAGTAGGAAAATAAAGATGCAGCAGCAGCTGCTACAGCCAACTCACTGTGGTCCTCAACTTAACGTTTTAGGCAATTTGCAATATAATTTCTGTGTACAAGAGTACAAGTTCTTTGAATGGTTGTTAAATATGTTTAAGTTAAGCAACTATTAGTATTCTTAAATAAAACAGTCTTATTGACCTAAAATCAAAGTCTGCATTGCATGTTGACCATTGGCTGCCCTGATTTCCATAGATTTGCATCAGTTATATACAAACTCAAATCTGTTGACGTCATTTAGCATATATCTTAGATCTTTATATACTGTTTATTTTTATACTTTCTATTTTTGCTATTTCTGGGTGTAACTGAGACCCTGAGTACATAATTTTGTTCCACCTCATGAACCACATGTGATGAGAATGACAATAAATTTGACTTGAACTTGAACTCTTTAAAAATCTACCAAGATTTGTATTCTAGTTGACAACATACACATGTTTTCTGTTAATTGGCTCCTTTCTGATCAGATTAGATTCAAAATGGATTTTATGGGCTAACTTTTGTTTTCTCATTCAAAACACGCTAAAACCAGGGACAACAAATTCAGTAATATAATTATGATAATAAACTTCGTCCTAGATGGTGAATAAGATAATCACTATAGTAAGATGTTCAATTCTTTATGAGAAATATGAATTAAATTTAACATGAAATTTAGAACAAACAACCTGTTGGCTAAAGAAATAACATAATTTTAAGACACCATAAACATATATTTTTTATCCATACATGTCTTTTTTGCAAATGAGTCAATGAGACTAACCTGTATAAATAAAGTTTGAATTAATTTTTTTAATCCATTGCTTTCTTTCAGCAGTTTTATTTTCATCACATTTCATTTCAATAAATTCTTCAATAAAAAAATCCAAGCATCCACCTTTTAGTTTTGTTGAAAACAAAATAATAATAAAAATCACAGTAAATAAAAAAAATAAGCTGACTCTGATGCTCATTAAGGCAAATCAGACATCTGATATCTGTTCGTGTTTGCAGCCTCATCAGGTTTAATTGGCCCAATTCAAATACTTCTTAATTCTCTTTCATTCTCATTTTTTATGCAAAAAGTGATTCAGTCGAGATGCATTCTGCCACAGAATGGCAGCTCAGTTCTAATACAATAAAAAAATATAATCTTGTGGGTCAGGAAATAAAGAACTGTGGCCGATTCTGGCCTGCGGGCCTTAAGTTTAGCACATACTGTAAAACATACAAACAATATCCTTTAAATGTTGTTGTTCTTGCTGCAATATATTTTTGGTACGTATTTTGTGCCGTTGTGTAATTAATTTTTCTTTTTTTTCCCCAAAGAAAAATCATAAAATTAATAATTTTATTTTGTACAATGGGGCAGCACGGTGGCGCAACTGGTAGAGCTGCTGCCTCTCAGCGAGCAGGTCCTTGGTTCAAACCCCGGTCCAGGGGCCTTTCTGGGTGGAGTTTGCATGTTCTCTCCGTGCATGCGTGGGTTTTCTCCGGGTACTCCGGTTTCCTCCCACAGACCAAAAAAAAAAACATGCATGTTAGGCTGATTGGTAACTCTAAATTGTCCCTAGGTGTGAGTGAGAGAGTGAATGGTTGTTTGTCTCGTTTGTCTCTATGTGGCCCTGTGATGGACTTGCGACCCGTCCAGGGTGTACCCCGCCCCTCGCACAGTGATTGCTGGACATGGGCACCAGCGACCCCCGTGACCCAAAATGGAATAAACGGGTAAAGAAAATGGATGGATGGATGGATTTTGTACAATGAGCAAAGCTGAAGATGTCTGAATAAAGTGATTGACAAAGCAACAAAATGACAACAAACAAATTACAGTCACACTTTAATGAAACCCTCATTCACCAAATCTTACAGTGTGTTTGAGAATTATCTCAATGCAGTAGTCCCAAGCCCTGCGATAAGTGAAAAACCGTGAAGTAGGAATAGTAGTACATGTAGTAAGTATTAGTTTATTTTAGTATTTACATACATACATACACACACACACACACACATATATATATATATATATATATATATATATTAGGAATGCGCAATATATACGGTATACGGTAGAAACTATAGAAATTTGGCCTATGGTAGAGATCTGTCTTCTACCGGCTAACCGCAGTAATGCTGTATCTGATGTAAAATCAAAGTTGTCAGTTTAATCGTTACTTTTTTTTTTTTTTAGTTAAAAACTGTGTGCAAGAGGCGTTAAAGTCTTTTCTTCGAGAGCTAAGTAGCGAAGCTACAAGCTAACTACAGCCGGCTTGCCGTAGTGTTGCCGTTTTCTGACGCATGCGCAAAACGCATTTCTTAAGTAAGACTGGAAACTGTTAAGAGTTAACAACATATTTTTTTGTTTAAAACATATGGCTAAAACTACATTTGATATCTTTTGCACTACAAGAAAGAAGCGTAATACTTGATTTGTTTATTATTTAAAAACTCTCTGGACCTAGTAGTGGAATTTTCTTAATTGAAAATATATGATGGCAAAAGGACACCCTATGCTTTTTTTTTAGCAAGTTTTATACCAAAAACATATTGCGATATATATCGTTATCGCCACCCTTCACAATACATATCGTGATATGAATTTTATGCCATATCGCACATTCCTAATATATATATATATATATATATATATATCACATCACTCTTGCAATATTCTAAACATAGTTTCTAAACTCTCTGCCTCTGCTGCAATCGGCCATGCCCACTTCTCTGCGGCAGAGCAGAGATCAGCTGATCAGCTGCAAGAGGGAACTCCGAAGCTGTGGGTTGCACACGGGCTGCAGGAGGGGATAAATAATTTAAAATAATTTGTTTTAATTAAAATATCCATACCAATCGTGCAGCTCATCCATCAATCAGTCAATTGTGTGTCATGTCCAGTCTTATTTTGAAAAACCACGATAGAGCGAGTCCGCGAAAAACGAGCCGTGACGTAGCGAGGGACTACTGTATTTACGTTGTGTAAGCACTAAAACCCACAGCTGAAATTTGTTTAGTATGAAAATGATTTGTGTGGGTCCTTCCAGGTGGAGCTCAGCTGTCCCAAGGAGATGGCGTGGAAGGTGAACATGCACCGCGGATATCTGGCTATCTGCAACCCCGAGGAGCAGCAGCTCAACTTCATCGAGCGGCTGGTGGAGATGGCCTCTAGCCTGGCCATCCGCGAGTGGAGGAGGTTGCCTCACATTGTTTCCCACGTGCACACGCCACTGCTGCAGGTCAGCACACTAAACACACAAGTTTCACTCTTCATAAGCTCATGCTTGATCAGATTAGCATGGAGGAAGTCGGTTTATTGTGATAAGTACTTGAGAAGATGCAAGATGTCAAGAGATCATCAACAGCTCTAAAACACTGCTGTTGAGCAACGCTGATAACAGCCTTTATCTCCCTCCCTCACTTCTTTGTGTAAAACTGGGAAGATGGAAACAAAATGAAAAGCCCTTTAAGCTTCTTTAATTCCACCCAAAGAAATTACAATAGATGGGGCAGAAATGGGAGGATAAAAGACGAATGGAAAAGCAGGAAGACTGAAAAAAGTGAGAAGTGAACAGAAAAGAGGAACATCTAGAGAGAAGAAGAAAGAAGGAGAGGTAGTTTAGAATTCCTGTAATTACTTCCCTGCCATCAGATAGTGTTTGATTAAATACGTGTAGCAGAATTACATTTGCATGATGAATGGGATAGTCTGAATGAAGGTTGAAAGTGGACCATCAGCTGATATGAACAGATAATTGTGAAAAATATTGCGCTGCGCAATTTATTTTGTTTTGGGAGATTTCATTTCCATGTAGGATGGGTTAAATCTTCCTTGCTGCTCTGATTCACAATATTTATCTTGTGAAAATGGGTATTTGGTTGCTCTGACTTCGTTCTTTGTTAGTGGGAACGTGTGTGCACTCATATGGAGTTCAATTATTTACCCAAGCCACAGGAAAACAAGCCATTTCTTCGTGCTCCCAGCTGAGCGACTTGTTGTAAATCTCTATTCCAAACTCTAAATCACAACTTCAGGACTCCACGGACCATGCAGGCTGAGAAAACCCAGACTTTGCAAATACTCTGGGCTTCAGATACTATTTGAATCAAGTTATCATCTAATCCGAGCTCCCAGCAGTAACCGGCGATCAATGGATTATCACCCTCACTATTGATTACGACAGCTGACGTTAATATTGATTGATGAAGAGTTATAATGGAATGATTGATTAAATGTTCAAAAAGCTGCTCCGGGCCAATCAATGAGGCTTCTTTTCAGGGAATAAGAAAGAAGCCCTCACTTATCATTTTCCTATTTTCCCATCTCCCTGACTCTATTTGTCTTTTTTTGGGCAGATTAGCTATGGAAGTGATGTAGGAAGACATTTTCAAATGCTGTGCTTCTAACTTTTATTTTGTGGCTTTACAAATTGCGCTGCACTAAATTTATGATGCAAACATGAGGTCTTTTTCTACATTTAATATTTTTACTTTACACTAATTTTCTCTTAATTTCTCAAATGGGCCTGATGCATGTATTCTGTCAGTAAAGATGAGCTGACCCGGAATCATAGTTTTTACTTTATAGTCTTTTCAAAATAAACTATGATGGCAGAAACTATTGCTAGGACACTCTGTGTTGTTTCATTTGTTTGTTGTGTGAAGGGACAATTTAAAGTAGACTGATTTAAAATAGACCAAAAAAAAAACAAAACACTGCCCATTCCTCGTGTAGTGCAGCACTGGTACAACAAAATGTTTGACTTTAAACAAAATCCAGCGTCATCTCAACGAGAAACGTTTTCTTATTGAATCGTGCTGACTGACTATTGTATGTATAACTAGAGAAATTGTATTTCCTTCAAATGAATGCTTATTGCTGAAAGACTTGCTAAAAATAAAAAACTGCTGAAAATGTAGAACAAGTGGAAATCAGCAGGAGAAAGAAAGAATACAAAAGTTGAAATGAGTGCAAAAAAATGTGGATTTAGCTAAGAAAGCTAATATTAGCATAACAACAGCTAAATAGTAGCTGGAATAACTAAAAGTAGCTGAAATAAGCTGAAAGTAGCATAACAAGTTGAAATTAGCAGAAGTAATTTAATTAGGCCGCAAGTAGAAGAAATTACCATGAAAAACTTGAATTTATCTGAAAACAGTTGGAATTAGCAAGACTGTTAAAAAGGTAGCTGAAAATTTAGATCAAGCTTAAATTATCAGATGAAACCGGAAATAACGCTTGCTGAAAGAAGCAGAAATGAGCACAAAAAAGTGGAAATTACTTGAAAAAAGCTTAAATTAGCATAAAACCAACTGAACAGTAGCTTAAAAAAGGCTGAAAGAAGCTTGAATTACCAGAAGGAAATGGTGAAAACACATTTTTGCCGAATTTGGCTAAAAAAAAAAGTTGAAATGTGTGCAACAAAAAAAGTGGAATTAGCTGAAAAAACTAAAATTTGCGTTAAACGGCTAAATAGCTGAAATAGCAGAAAAAGATGAAATTTGCAGAAATCAGCTGAAAGGAGCATAACAAGCTGAAATTGGCAGAAAGAAGTTAGAAGAAGCACAAAAATGTTGTAGTTAGCAGAAAGAATCTGAAAGGAGCACAAAACAGCTGAAAGTAGCTGGAAAAAGTTTAAATTTACACAAGGAAGCTATGGAAAAAGCAGAACAAAATGTGAAAGGAGCAGTAAAAGGTTGTAAACGGATCTAAAGATTTCAAGGATGTAAAATGAGCTCAATTCATTTTCATTGAGGAAAAAAGTGTCATAAAGGCTAAATATTTCAAAAAGCTAAAGCTGCACCAATAATCAAGTCATAGCAGGATTGTCCTGAACGAGCTGAGCGGTTTGATATACAAGTTGTTGAAGTTGCTTGAAAATTGCGGGACGAGCATCGCGCCGAAAAACGTCCGAAAGAAAAATGGTTCGCAATAGTGTGACTGCTTCATGAGCATTCACACAATTAAAGGTTACATATTTTAATTTAAAATTTTCATGACATGAGTGTGAAGATAATCACGAGGGCTTTATGAAAGATGCAATAAAGAGAAAGGTGAGCCTCGTGTTTTAATTCATCATTCCTCCCCAGGCGGCGCAGCAGATCATTGAGCTGCAGGAAGCAGCTCAGATTAATGCAGGACTTCAGCCTACAAACCTGGGCCGCAACACCAGCCTGCACGACATGAAGACCGTGGTGAAGACCTGGAGGAATCGACTGCCTATTGTTTCTGACGACCTCTCCCACTGGAGCAGCATATTCATGTGGCGCCAACACCACTACCAAGGTACGGCATCCTGATCCTCGGGATCAGACCGCCTTTAAAAGAGATGCCAGGAAGTAGAGTACCATCTTTCTTAGAGACAGTGCGTGTGCTGCAGGATGCCTCCTTACTGTAGACACGCGCTCAGGTTGTTGCTTTGCTTTGCATGAGTTATAGGAAGGGCTCTTCTTAAAAAGGCCACGTTGCGAAGAACACTCAGGGTGCCTGTGCGCTTCCAAATGTCATCTCACTAAAGCACACATACGCTGACTCCCACATCTTTACCTTGCCTAGTGCCCAGCATCTCTCCAGCAGTGATTTTGAAGCCATTCAGAGAGGCAGCCACTGCAAAATGTGATGTCTCAAGCAAGTTGAGCTCCAGCTCACACGATGAGGGCTAAAATAATGATAGTGTTGTTTGGCTGCACCACGCCAATAAAACTCACCTCATTTATACATGACAGCCTTCAAAGCCAAAGTGAAATGGAGTTTTCTTGATGAAATTCATCACCACGGTTCATTTACTGTTCAATATGTTCAGCGTCCCTGGTGCCCTCCTCAGCATTATGACAGCGTAGCTTTAGAGGGCTGCAGGATCTTCACTCTTCATCTTGTTCTTTATTCACTTTGTCACCTATATAAAGAAAAACGCCTTCTTTATGTTTGTGTCTACAGCCATCGTGACAGCGTATGAGACAAACACACAACACGACCCAAATAACAACAACGCCATGTTGGGAGTTCATGCCTCGGCTTCTGCTATCATTCAGTATGGGAAGATAGCTCGCAAACAGGTACTGTTCAGGCTCAAAGGTCTTCTTTAATTAAAGCAAAGTAGATCAAAGAATGACATTTATCATTTTGAAGCATGCATATTGGTATCTGGTACTGATGAGACAATGTCATACTGTTTTTATTAAAGGGGTTGGTGAATGTGGCCTTAGACATTTTAAGTCGAATCCATACCATCCCCACGGTGCCCATCGTTGACTGCTTCCAGAAGATTAGACAGCAGGTCAAGTGTTATTTGCAGCTGGCTGGTGTAATGGGCAAGAATGAATGCATGCAGGTGAGATCTCTGTTCCACGTGACATTTAACAACCGGTCAATTTTTAAGATGTTTTATCGGAGGTTGATATTGTTTTTAATCATGTCCATGTATGCGTATTTGTGTGTCTCTGTATGTTTTGAACCACTGGAGAATTTTAAATGAAACTAGAGACGTTGCATTTCTGGCGAAAATGCAGTGTAAATGCGTATTGCTGAAGAACTTGCTGAAAAGCAGCTGAAACTAGCTCAAAACATGCTGAAATGTAGCTGAAATGGCAGCACAAGCCCATGTTAGCAGAAGAAAGCAGAAATAACACATTTGCCGAATTAGCAGAAACGAGCACAAAAAAAGTTGAAATTAGAAAAAAATAAGTGAATAGTAGCTAAAAAAAAAAAAAAAGCAAAATAAGCTTAAATTACCAGAAAGAAGTGGAGAGAACACAGTTGTGTCCAATTAGGCTGAAAGAATCAGAAATAAAACCAAAAAAGTGGAAACTATCGTAAAAAGGTAGAAATTTGCAAAAAAAAAACCCAGCTCAATAGTAGCTAAAAATGCAGCCTAAATTACCATAAGCAAGTGGAGAGAGCACAGTTTTGCTGAATTAAGCTTAAAAAAGTTGAAATGAGTACAAAAAAATTAGAATTAGCTGAAAAAACTAAAAATGAGCATAAAACAGTTATATATAGCTCAAATAGCAGGAAAAGCTGAAACTTGCAGAAATAAGCTGAAAGGAGCATAACAAGCTGAAATGAGCAGAAAGAAGTTAGAAGATGCACAAAAGTGTTACAGTTAGCAGAAAGAATCTGAAATGAATACAAAAAAGCTGGGGGGAAAAAAAACAGCTAAAAGTAGCTGAAAAAAATGTTTACATTTGCACAAGGAAGCTGAAAGAAGCGGGACCAGAACTGTGAACATATCTAAATTTTTGAAGGATGTAAAATTAGCTCAATTCATTTTCTATGAGAAAAAAAAAAAATACCAGAATGGGCTAAATATTTCAAAAAGCTAAATCTGCGCCAATACCAAAAGTCACAGCAGGATTGTCCTGGAAGAGCTGAACGTTTCATGATTTGTTGAAATTGCACAAAAATTGTGGAACGAGAAAGATGCAGAAAAACTTATAGAAGAAAAATGGATCACAATAGTGTGGATGCTTCAGAAACATTCCCACTATTTGCAGAAAGTAGTTTTTAGATGTGCGTCTAAACTGATTAACTTTTGGATCTTACCCATTCCTCCATGAATCCATCAGGATTCAAGATGGCCGCATCAACCAACTCGCCTTAGAAAACAGGAAAATGGCTTTAACTCATTCAAATTCACAAGAACTAGACTCCGATTTGCTGTCGTACCCGAGACACATTCACAGCACAAGAGCTAATCATCGCAAGAGAGCTTTGGTTTAAACCTCAGCGCTAACTGTTGTCAACGCAGTTTGTCTGTTAGCAAAATATCTCCATAACCACTTTTAAGGAAACCTTCAAAAAGTGGGTGGACATCGACAGCCGATTAACATTTGGAGTCAGTTTGATCCATGTCGGCTACCACAGCTAATAAACTTTGAACAACACAAAAATGGCTATTGGTCAGTTTTTAAGATATTCAGGTCAAAATTGATGTAGCTGAGAGTTTTTCCCAAACTTATCCTCTAAGCATTAACTTAACACAGCACACACGCATGCATGGAATCACACACAATGTTCCAAGGTTCGACAATACTAGTTCTTATTAAAAGTTTTTAATATTGACATTATTTCAACCCATTTGCTGGGCTTGGTTCAGTTCTCAGTTGCTGCTGGCACAGTTCGGGTTACTTTGTGTGAAAAGCAGTAAGAGCAAGAAGGGTTTGGGGTGGCTGCAGGTGACAGGTTATAGCTCTGAGACTTATAAGAGAGTGTAACTCATGAGCTTGCTCTTAAGCCCACAGAGCACTCTGATTAATAGAAGCTGTTCAGCACACCACAAGTCATTAAAAATTGCCAGCAGACATTGTTCTCTCTCTCTGTTCTTTCTCTTCTCTAGTTCTCTCCGTCTCTTTCTCCTGCTACACATCGTTTGTCACAGCAGTACATAGGAGACACCTAATCAGGGAGTCACCGTAATGGAATTTTAGTTCCCCCTAATACCTTTTTGTCCTCGCTTCTTAATGAACAGTGAGGAGTTTGTTTGTTTTTTCACGCGTTCTTATGGAAGGCGCGGTGATGCTGTCTTTTTGTTTTTTCTTCTTCCCGCAAAACTTTTCGTTTTGCAGTTTTGTTTGGAGTTGCCCTCATCTTGATGTTATTACTTTTTTTTCTCAGGGTTTAGAGGTGATCGAGTCGACTAACCTGAAGTATTTTACCAAAGAGATGACAGCCGAGTTCTACGCTCTGAAGGGCATGTTCCTGGCACAAATAAACAAGTATGTCCTCCAGCTGTTTTGCTTTTGACAACTTTTACAGTCAATTTGTTTCCAGCTTCACATCTGGAACATCCTGAATCTTTACCTGTCCCTTCTGTTTGTGTGAATGTTTTATCTGCTTCTACTAATCCGTCACGTTTGTGTCACTTCTCACCTCCAATGTAAGATGTTGTCTATTGTAGGGGTTGAACGACTACATATTTTCTAAAGTCAACTTCAACATGATAAAAGTTGAGTCGACTAGTCGCTTTGATGTCATAGGAACTCAATACGCTATATCATATTCACAAAAAAATGTAATTTATTATTTACAAAAAAAAAAGAACAAGAAAACATTGGGAGCGTACATTTATGCTCCTACCATTTATTATACTGCAAAATAAGTCACGGGAAAACCAAAACGATTATTAAGCTGCAAAAGAGAAAGAAACGTGCGGCACTTAAAAAACGAGGCTAAAAACAGGGGGCAGGAATCCACCACCATGGATTAAATAAAATAAAAACCACCGCGCACCACTGCCCGCCCCGTGTTTTTAGTTTTATTTTACTTATTCCACCAGTGGATTAAATAAAATAAAAACCACCACGCACCGGTGGATTCCACCACTGCCCGCCCCAGTGTTTTTAGTTTCTATTTTATTTAATCTGCCAGTGGATTAAATAAAATAAAAACCACCGTGCACCACTGCCCGCCTCCCTGTTTTTATTTTATTTAATCCACCAGTGGATTAAATAAAATAAAAACCACAGCATTCCACTGCCCGCCTCCCTGTTTTTATTTTTATTTAATCTGCCAGTGGATTAAATAAAATAGAAACCACCGTGCACCACTGCCCACCCCCCTGTTTTTAGTTTTATTTAATTCACCAGTGGATTAAATAAAGTAAAAACCACTGTGTGCCACAGCCCGCCCCCGTGTTTTTAGTTTTATTTTGCTTATTCCACCAGTGGATTAAATAAAATAAAAACCACCACGCACCGGTGGATTCCACCACTCCCCGCCCCAGTGTTTTTAGTTTCTATTTTATTTAATCTGCCAGTGGATTAAATAAAATAAAAACCACCGCGCACCACTGCCCGCCTCCCTGTTTTTAGTTTTGTTTTATTTAATCCACCATTGGATTAAATACAATAAAAAAAATAAAATAAACTCGCACCACCTCCCGCCCCTGTTTTTAGTTTTATTTTATTTAATTCACCAGTAGATTAAATAAATTTGTTTTAAAAACCACGCACCACCTCCCGCCCCTCTCTTTTTAGTTTTATTTTATTTAATCCACGTTGCAGATTTTGCATTTTACTCTAGTTGAACCAGAAGAGTCATCTTTAGTGAAATACTTTCACACTGTTGATGAATTTCTACCTGTTTGCCAAGACTTGGCCTGCTCCTCGCCTTCCGTCTGCTTGGAAGAATCCATTTTGTAGCCAGCGCTGATCACGTGACACAATCACGTGACTGCGACTAGTCGACGTGAATGTTAAAACTCACGAGATGTCCTAGAACCAACCCCTAGTCTATCGTCAGCTCGTGATGGAGTCAGTTTATTGTTTTTTGGATGCAGGGTTTGCCTTTGGAGCAAGCAGCTGCTGTTACCATGTTTACCAACACCCCTCACAGACTCCCCACCCCCACATTCGCCCATCATCTTTGACATGACATGGGGTCCCGAGGGGGCGAAAGACAAATTCAGGGAAGCTTATTAAACATATATGCAGCTCAATAATTAACTCTGGGCAATTTACAGGAATCTCTGGGATCAGCAGAACTTGCCTCCACCTCAGTAGGGTTTATAGCAATCATTAAGTCCCCCCCCCCACCGCACGGATGGGAGACTTAGCAGAGTGGAGGTTAGGGGTTTGATTTGTGTATGCACATAGCTACATATGCTAAGGATTTTGGGATCATTCAATTAAATGGGTGTCAGAGATTTGGCATCCGTTGGGTGTTCTCCTGTTGAGCAGGTAGTAGAAACTCTTCATGTACTTTAACACTTGCAAAGTGACGAGGAAACCCCATTAAGTATTACTGGAGGGTCTTCGGCTCTCGCTCCCACAGCAATCAAGCTCCCGTTTTTTAATCACATGCCAAAATGCCTCCCATAATAACACATTTTAATTGATTGGTTGGGGAGGCATTTCGCTGTTAGTAAGTGCAGGAGTAGTTTGGATGTGCTCCTAAAATGGAGGACCACTTCCCAACTGCAACTCAGTAGGACTTTTTATTTGACAGACCTGTCTCCTTGTTTTGACGGGAGGTAGTGGGTCTTGTGCTTCCTGCTTCTTATTTATTAATCGGAGGCTGAACGTTGTGCAAAAATTATTCAAACTGCGTGCCAGTGAGCAAATGGAAGCCGCCTAGCGTTGTGAAAATAGCTGATGGTTCAAAATTTAGTTTCTTGTCAGCAAGAATTGAGCCGTCAAGACTTAGGTCTGCTGCCAGGTTTCACCTCTCTGCTTCCTGCTATTATTAAATTGTTTGTAAATAGAAATTTAGATATGACTGATGGGTTTCAAATGTCACAATAAAAACTTGAAACACCTTTTTTTATTGCACTGTGGTAGTTTTTTATTTTATTTTGCTATATGTTTATAGCTTCATACAGTCTTTATGTTGTAGTTTTATTTTTCTATAAATGAATTATTTATGATGATTGAAGATAATCCAGTTTTAATATAACAAAATAATACCTTGACAACAATATTCACATAGATTAAAACCATATTGCTTAAATGAAGGCTTCTTAGCTTTGCCACATAAAAATGACTGTTTACTGACTAGTCTTACCTAATTTGTCTGACACCCGTCACTTACAACTCCAAATTCTAGAAAATAAAAGTCAACAAGATACAAAAAATTGTAACCTTAACATATATATATTTGTTTATTACTAAACCATCTATAAAACATTAATTTTTTTAAATTTGATAATAAAAATAACCAAAATCAGCTGAATATTCCAAAGATTTTTACTTAAGTATTACATTTTGAAAAGGATCCTTACAGCAAATAAAAATTGTGCCAATTGGTGCAAGAGTTTTCACACTTTTCCAGTACTGTTCGAGTTTTTATGAGTCAGTAAGTTTACTAGGGATGCACAGTATTGGATTTTTGGCCAATATCCGATATGCCAATATGTTAAAACTTATTTGGCCGATGACCAATACCGATATTTTTTTTCCCTAGACCTACTTACAGAGACTACATGTCTTTCTCTGCTGTGGAATTAAATTACTACATTATTCTGCACGGTCTTTGTCAGTTTGGCCTGATACCAAATACAGATGCCAAAAAGGGGCTGAAAATGATGTAACACTTCAACTTAGATTATGTTTAATGTCAAATTTATTCATGACATTTACTCTAACACAATGACGACACTCGAACA